TGATGGATGGACCGTACAACTGCTCTACGCCTGCAGAACACCCTGCGTGCAGTTTAGCCTTTTCGTATGGCCCGCCCGACTCCAAATGAAAGATGCTGCAGTCAATCGCCTAGCAAAGTCAATTACTCAATTGACCCTGTGTCCTGCTGGTCCACTCGGGAGTCTCAAGTGCGACCGCCGAAAGGCAACGGGCGCCGACCACAAAAAAATACTCAATTGACCCTGTGTCAGGTCACTACCAGTGAGGTTGATGCTGCTACCAAACTGCTCGACAAAGCATGCCAGAAGCTTCAAGGTATCCAAACTATCCCATCTCAGAGGGTCACTGACCTTGAAGCTGCCATATGCCAACTTCGCCAAATTAGCTGTATCTTAGATAGTTGCACAATCTCCGCCAGTTACGAAGTGAGCCAGGCGCAGAAAGCCATACTGCTTCTGCCACATACAGCCAAGGGGCAAGCACGTCATCGGAAGAGCTTAATGCTCAGATATCACCACGCACTGATGATGAGCATAATCTTCCATACCATGAAGACTATTGGCAAGAGGACTAGGGTACTGGAGTTTACCGCAATGATGGAGCCTTGAGAGATGTTCTTGTAGAATGTCTCTCACCGCTCCCTCATTCTGGTAATTCTCCAGGTGAGGTCCTCACGTGTCAAAGTACATCAAGCCATGGAACCCGTCGCCGTTTGCCTGACTTCAAACCAACACCCTGACCGGTCGTATACGACTTCCTAATGGATGTCTTTATCCACTCTTGCTCCAATAAGAGACAACACCGCCGTTGATGGCCCGCCCTACTCCAATGAAAGATGCTGCAGTCAATCGCTTAGCCACATCAATTACTCAATTGACCCTGTGTCAAGTTACTACCAGCGAAGTCGATGCCGCCACCAAACTGCTCGACAAGGCATGCCAGAAGCTTCAAGGTATCCAATCCGTCCCATCTCAGAGGGTCACCGACCTTGAAGCTGCCATCCGCCAAATCCGCCAACTGAGCTACGAAGTTAGCCAAGCGCAAAAAGCCTTACTGCTTCTGCCACATCACGCACAGATGATGAATATAATCTGCCAACTCATGAAGACCAACTCCAAGAGCACTAGTACCGGAGTCAACAGTAAATCCTGGCAGCCTTCCAAGTACACTGTGTTTGGCACCCTGCCCAGCAAGCTAGTACCTTCATGTTCGAGCACAAGAAATTACCCAAGAGTAGGATGATCGGAAAAGCACTACTGAGCGGACTCTGAGCGCACCCGGAGGGCTGTTTCACTGTCCGTTTCACTTAGCTCTTTCTCACATTAGCTCTTGTTTCACTGTCCGTCTCACTCTTCTTTTCACCACTCTCGTTGCGACACGGCGTTGTCGTTCGGCTGTTGTTTGCTTCGAAGTGACTATGGGTGGCTTGCGCCATGTGATCTCGGGGATCCTGGCTGGGGGGATCCCTGGTTTCCGCATGGTGATTTGTTGCTTCACTCACCCTCTGGTATGGCTTGGTGGTTTGGATGTTTTTCCTTGTTTCTGCTGCCATACCATGACGAGATGATACAATGTTATCATCTCTTGCATTAATTAACCCATGAACTGGCACTGGTCATGTCGTCGCTAGGTCTGTTTGTTGTGTGTTTTTGGTTTTTGTGTTTTGTTTGCTTGGCTTTTTGCTTTTGTTTTTGTTGTGGTTTGTGTGTGGTGACTTCCAACGACCTACTGGACTGTGTACAGGTCCTTACCAGTTCACTCTTGAGGCCCCTCAATCTGCAGACGGCCATGCGTATGCTTTAATTACTTAATTAACCCTATTTTTGCAACATGCAATTGAACGTGTTGAACGACCTGGCGGAAGCCATGAAGGCGTTGGACGGAAAAAAAGATCCTGATATTGGGGTCATGATGGTGCATGAAGATGAGGACGGCCAACAGGAAGAGAAGAGTTATGGAGAAGATGTTACTTGGGCTCCATGTGCCGCACCACCAGCTCAAGGCGTTTGAAACACCATGTACCAGCTGTGCCATGTTGGACATTCCATGCCCTTCAGCCACTGAAAGCGCACGCAAAAATTGCTTGGCCATTCTGTTGGTTCTACTGGTTTTGATCTGTCCGGTTTGTTCACTGAAATTTTCACTGAATATGACTCCTACTTTCTCACCACTGCAAACAAAACCCAACATGTGAAGTAGAAAAAGGTGTCTGTTCTTGGCTAACGACTTGATGTTTGAGGTCTGCCATGTTGTAGAGCGTTTTCACCTGTTTGATACAAAGATCACCACTAAGTACTTTAGCTTGAAGCCAAAGGAGCTGCCCTTTGATATGTCTCAATCTCCCAGCACCAAGTTTGTTGGATAGCATCTTCACCGCTGAGTTGTCGGTGTGCAAAATAACGGGTCCTACTTCATCATCAGTCAGGAAGGAGAGAATGTGAAGTTGCCGCATACGACTCGGCTTCTGTGCTACTCAAACTGATCACTTCTGAGTTCTACTTGTTGACCAAATAACGATGCCATTCAGAAGATGTACTGCCGCTGATGTTGAACGGTTTGACCAGTCTGAGTCTGAATACGTCAGCAGTTGTTAGTGCGCCGGCCACAAATCATCTTCTGTCATCTCACGCTCGAAGTTCTTGCTATCATCATCCCAAATACCACACGTATCATCACATGCAGCTTCCATGGAAAATGAAAAATCACCAGTATCACATTGTTGCAACAATTCACCAGGATTTTCATCGACATGCACAAGAGTCTCTGAACCAACACATTGTTGAAAATCTCGCACGTTTTACATGTGGATGATGTGTTGCTTGTGGGTGAACCATGGCTTTCAGATGTTTTTCTTCCTGCATTGAAAGAGGAGTTCAAACTGAGCTCAACACTGGTTGACAGAAGTGCTGGTGGAACGTTTGAATTTCTGAAAAGATTTCATGTGGTGGAACCACCGCAGAGATCACAGTGTATCCAGAGGAAAAGCATGTCCATGCAATGTTAAGCGAATGGAAAGCCTCCGAAACTTTGCAAGACTCCTTGCAACACTTGGCGTGACGTTCGATGTTGCCATCTTCACGTTTATATATCTACCATCTTCAGAGGATTTCTGAGCTGGGAGAATTTGTTTGAGGCCATTTTGAGAACGTCTGAGATTGTTTCGGAAGGTTTCGAACTGTTTCTGCAAAACCCTTGTGGGACATTTTGTTTTGCATTGAGCTTATGATTTTGCGTTGGATGATGTAGAGTTTGTGCATTTGTTCATCGTTAGGTCCTTAACCTTTGGACCCGAAAAGTTCCTTTTGGGTTTTCTCCCAAACGATGTCCAAGGCTATCATTTGCCTGAAAGGTCCGAAGTGACTTTGTTGAAACTTGAGATGGCGACTGATGGGAGGAAAACCTACCTAAAGGGGTTTTAATGACCTATCTTGATGGACTAATTAGTTTGTAGGGTTTGTAGATCTAGGGATTTGTGAGCCTGAAACCAGACAGTTTGGACGTCACTTATTTTGTGACTTTTGTCCAAGGAAACTTTTGAAGTCATGTAGGTTTTGATTTACCTCTGGAATTGTTTTGACCTGGAATCGAGTTTCCTCTGCCGATTTCGCTTTCAAGGAGTGTGAGTCAAACAAGAGATAGATCACAGTACAGCTACATGAACTGACGTCGCTTTGTTTGTGTTGTCGTCGCGTGCAAAAGGGGGCTTGAAGCGTGCAGTTGCTGCAGGTGTTGGTTCTTGAGATCATACTTTGGGTTTTCGGCTCTCGCAGTCAGAATATAATATCCACACCCCGGCCCACCAGAGTCCCCTACCTCAATCTTGGCAAAGGTGGAGCCCGTGCAGAGTCGAACTGACTCCGGTTCGCAAAAGTGGGGTTTGCCAAACGACTGTCAATGACCAGTCGCTGCCTGGTTTTGTTTCTTCTTGTCATACAAAACGCACCTACAACTTCTTTGACCTGCTGACGGATTCAATCAAACCAGCATCAAACAACCGCCTGCAAAAAAGAGCATGCATCTTTCAAAATCGGATCAAAAATACGGCTTCTTCAGGGCAGAGGCCGCTTTGCGGTCCTGAACCACACTTTCAGGCAAAACTTTGGAAGTCGGCGTCGTGGCAGTTGGTATGGTGTCGTTTTTAACGGCGCCAACAGACTGTCGGTGGTGGTCGATTCCGCTGGTCCGCGGGTAAGACTCACCATTTAAATCGGCTCCGAAGGACCGTGCCCCCTAAACGCATGTGGAGGCTTAGGCTGGCAACGCTGGAGCTGATCAAGATTGGTCGGGCTGATGGGAAACTGATTGAGAATCTTGTTGGTCATTTTACTTTTGCAGGTTTGTTGCAGCGAGGATCTTTTTGTGCGGCTTCTCTAATTTGTTTGGTGAAGAAAGATTTGTCAGCACCTTGGAGCAACACGGTACATGCAGCAGATGCTTCGTTTTGGGGGCGAGGTGTTGTAGCTGTTGAGCGTGATCCCAAAGAAAGGTCAACTATGTGATCGGTAGAGATTCAACCAGATTGAGGAGGGTGAAGTGATTAAAACGCAGCTGCTCTCATCAGTTCAGGACCTGGACGTTGAAGCACTCCAAGCTCCTCACCTGGCCGAGCAAGCGTTGCCGGAGACCCCATTTGATTCAGGTTTTCAATAGGTTCCAGCCCAGTCCATCGGAAAGGGCTGGCGACAAATTGATGGGGCTTCTTGGAACAGAGTCGAATCGTGCAGTGGTGTGGCTAGGCCAGCACCTGGCCCGCTCTAAGAAGAACTTGGGCAAGCGTCACCTTATATTAACTGATTCCATGACTGCATGTTTCGCCTTGGCAAAAGGTAGGTCGTCGATTCCAAGTGTCAATCGAATATTTTGCCAAATTGTTGCCTTGTTGCACTTCAGTTTTAAACTGGTTTTAAGCTTCGTCTTCGCTGAATACCATCTGAACTTAACCCTGGGGATCCACCATCAAGGGCTCGAGCATTAGCAGAGTTTTCCATCATCCAGCAAGGGGTCCGAGATCTCATTGCCAATGTTGCCGAGAAGGGCAGCTCCAGACAATCCTGGAGGGGCAACGCGGCTGAATTTCATCCGCGGTTCCTTGCAGAAGGGCGTAGAAAGGGGGAGATGACACAGAGTCATGCAAAGCAAGAAATTCAGATAGAAACCCGAAAAAGGAAGAGAGCCGAAGGCAGAATTGCGTTGTACGGCAGCCATCCAGGTGTGGGGAGCAGAAAAGTGTGTCCACGGCCCGGCAACAGAGCTATGCCAAGTCTTGGGAGGGCTTCACCCAAGGGGCGAAGATGAACCGCTTGAAAGTGAAGACCTTGCTAGACATCGACAAAGCTGCAGCCGAAAGAATGAATTTCCTGTTCTTCGACGGCCACGATCTCTGGCCGATGTGCACACTCTCATGGCCGCCATCAAGTTTTTCAGACAGGACATCACGCTTGGGGGGACTGCCGAGGGCAACAGCAGCTCTGAAAGGGTTCACAAAACCCGAACCTCCTAAAGGATGTATCCCCATTCCTTTTCCAGTGTTTGCTTTGATTCTCCGACAAATCTGGAATTCTCACAGGCTGATCGCGTTGTGGTTGGTGATGACATGGGCGACTTGTGCCCGGCCAGGGGAAGCACACCGTCTGACGTGTCAGGACTTCTATGTGGTGATCCTCAACTCTGGTGTGGGGGTGGTGAGCCAAACCACGGCCAATCAGAACTTGGAAGAGCCGGAAGTGAAACGCCCCCGTCCAACTTCGAGGTGGGCGAAGTTGGACGAAGCTGTGCTGCTGGACCAGCCGTACCTCTTAGGAGCCGGCGAACTCTTGCACTCCCTGGCAAAGAAGGGAAAGACCCCTGTTCAACTTCAGCCTCAAAGATGGCACGAAGGTGCTCAACCAGATCTTGCAAGACTTGGATTTGGTTCGCCATGGAATAAATTGTGTGTATCAGGTCCGGCACGGCTCTGCTTCCACAGATGTCCTCATCAGGTTTCGAAGCTTGGTCGATTTCCAGAAAAGAGGACGGCGGCACAGCCGAAGGAGCGTCACAAGGTATTCCAATGGCGGCCGAATCAGCCAGGTCTTCAACTACTTGGACGAACGCCTAAAAATGGCTGCTTTGTCCGCCGAGCAGTATTTCAAAGACTTTAGGAGCTGGAGAAGTGTGCAAGACAGTCGAGATAGACCCGTAGCCTTGGAAATCTTTTCTGGCAGCCGTCATATGGCCCGTGCGCTGCGCAGGCAGCGCAGAAACGTAACAGTGTTTCAACTTGACATCTCACATGGGTTACAATTTGATTTGGCCAAAAAGTCCATTCAACAGGAACTCATTGATTTTCTTGCCTCCTTTCATGTAGTGTTTGTGTGGCTTGGCACTCCATCTTCTTCTTGGTCCCGAGCGAGAAAAAATCACGGGCGTGGTCCTGGTCCTCTCCGGGATGATGATGAGTTCATTGATAGATTTTGTGATTTGTCTCCCAAGGATTATGAGAAGGTCAAAATTGGAAACAGTTTGATGAGGTTTTCCGCTCGTGTCTTTCGACAGTGTATCATGTTGAATATACCAGTTGTGCTTGAAAACCCGCACACGTCAAGGTTGTGGAAGGCCCCCCTTTTTCGCATCTCCTATCACATCGGCACGTTCAATCTGGATATACTGATTTTTGCCAAGATGGTACGCCCTGGCGTAAGAGAACTAGAGTCATGTGGTTTGGCATCTCGCTCAGGTCTGTACTTCGGCAATGTGCTTGCGGACATGGACTTTGCTCCCGCACGGGGTCTCGCCATGTCACTTGGGAAGGGATTACGAATGGGCAATTCATGACATTGACTGCTCAGCCTGATCCTTATCGCTTGTGCAATAGGGTTGGTAGGCTTTTGGAACAACACCTGCTGATGTCTAAAGGGGCTGTGCTGTGGAAGTTTTTGGAAGGCCGCCGGCCAGATAAGTTTTTGGAGCGTGGAAACTAGCAAAATTTTTTACTTTGGGGGCACTTTAAAGCTCACTGCCTCGATGCAGGCTAGCTTGTGAACAGATCGGTATCTTGCCCATGGTGGAAAAACGACGGATCATGATTCTGATTTTCAGGGATTTGAGAAGTGTTTGACATGCATGGGCTGCGGTGCGGGTTGCCACTCTCAAGCTTCCCGCCCATTTGATCAACGGCCCTTGCAGGAACCTAAACATTAGGATCCTAGTTGCCAGTCTTCCTACCCCAAATATGTTTCTCTTACATTGACCAAGGGTGCTTCATGTAAGTAATGTCCATTCCTTCCATTACTAGTGGGATATTTGTGATCTGATTTCAAATTCAGAGGCGACCGGTGCAGGCAGAGTTGGTGAAGCTGGGGTTTCCTACAGTGATTTGGGGCACCCATATTTGCTAAATCTACAGGTATGTATCTGCAGGGACAAATTTGGGGTCAAAGCATCGCACGAAACAGATTGCCATGGCTGATGTGCCCTCTGATGATGGAAGTTGGGAAGACCGCCTGGCGGGCGATAGGGTCTTTTGGCCATCTTTTGGAACATTGCCGGAATGTTCCTGCTATGTTCCTGCCGATAGAAGTCGGCAACTGGCTTATGTATTGCTTTACACAGGTATTGGTGAAGTATCCCAATGAAAAGTATCAAAAACTGGTGAAAAACGTTAGTTTTTGGCTATGTAAGGCCTATGTAAGGCCTATGTAAGGCTTATGTAAGGTCTATGTAAGGCCTATGTAAGGCCTTTGCAAGGCCTATGTGTTGCTTACATAGGTATTGGTGAAATATCCCATTGAAAAGTATCAAAAGCTGGTGAAAATGCTAGTTTTTGGCTATGTAAGGCCTATGTAAGGCCTATATAACGCCTATATAAGGCCTCTGTCTTGCTGCCTGTTTAAAAAGTATCAAAAACAGGTGAAAAATGATGGTTTTGGGCTATGTAAGGTCTATGTAAGGCTTATGTAAGGCCTTGGTAAGGCCTTTGTAGGGCAGCCATGCTCGCCAGTTATTTCCCTTACAAGGACAAGGACTCTCAAAAAACGAGTTTCCAAATACCACCTCAGACCCTTCCCCAATCTTGCGCAGCCAAACACGCAGCGAGACCAAGAAAAAAATCGGGGACTTGCAGCATGGGAACAGCTTGCAACAACACTGCAGTTGCAGCGAGTGCTATTGCCACAAAACTGCATGTGTATTCGTCAAAAACCAATAAGAACGGAATATGAACCAAGGTGTCAAATAGGGGTATATATATATATAAACATATATAAGTATATCCATTAAAGATTGTTTTTTTTGTGGTTTTTGCAGAGGTTGAGACATAGTTTTCGAGCAAAACTTATATTCAAATACATAGGCCTTACATAGGCCTTATATAACTTCTTATGTAAGGTATATGTACGGCTTATGTAGCCGACAAAAAGTGCTTATATGGCACAGAACCTCGCTTTTAGGATCCTGAAATTTTCCTTGATTTGAAGGCCCAACCCCGCTTCAGTGGCAGGGGGCACTTTACAGCTCACTGCCTCGATGCAGGCTAGCTTGTGAACAGATCGGTGTCTGGCCCATGGTGGAAGAACGACGGATCAACATCATGATCTTCCTCCTTCTCAACATCATCATCCCGCACCTTGTCCTCCTCCACTTCATCTTCCGCATTATCATCCTTCTCCTCCTCATCCCCCTTAACATCATCATCCTCATTCTCATCCTCCTCAACATCATTCTCCTCCACATCATCCTCCTGCACCTCACCATCCTCAACATCATCATCCGCAACATCATCGTCCGCAACATCATCATCATCATCATCATCATCATCCTCATCCTCATCATCATCATCATCACCATCATCATCATCACCATCATCATCATCATCATCATGATCAACATTATCATACATGATCCTCCCACCCCCAAACTGTTTGGGGTCTCTTGCCGGGATATTTTTTTTGAAGGCTTCGTCAAGCTCTGCTTGCACGCAACATTGAAATTGGGGGCAAGGTGTGTCTAGGTGTCCTCCTCGCTAGAATTCAGTTTTTTTTTTGGAAGAACCCGGTATCTTCATATTTGTCGCGATGTTTGGATCTTCGCTTCCCTGATCTTACTTCACTGCCCACTGTAGATAACAACCGGAAATTTTCACATGTGGGGTTATCATGGTCTTTTAATTCAAATTTGATTTTTGGCCGGTATGGCGTTTGTGGGTTCATGTGATATTTGAATGGCGGCGGGATTGAAGGGCTGAAGGGCAAACGATTCATTGTGCGATGAACAAAACATGGGTTGTTTGACTGATTCAGTGAATCTCTGAATGAATGGGAGGGGCGGAATTTGACAGGTTGACAGAAAAAGGTCATCAGCGAAAAATTGTTTTTTGTTTGCGCATGTTGAAAAGTTGGCGGTTGTATCCCCACGGTAATCCCACGGTAGTTTTCCTTTGAAATACGGGCCTGGGGTTGATATTGAAAGGCGATTTTTGTTTGTGTTTTTTGTTTTGGGAACTTTGGCAAAATTGCAAGCCTAAACCAACAAAAACAACAAACTTGTAGTTTGTCATAGTTTGGAGATCGGAATTGTGCCGTTCTTTGTTGTAGCCTATCAATGAGGCTTTGAGTTGACATGCATGATTTGACGGCATCAACTGTTGCCATGATGTGGATCAAGCTGCTGGGTGCTTCGAGCATTGACTTGAAAAACTTACATTGGCATTTACCGTCGACAATATATACATTTGTTTGATTCACAAACATTGGCCCATTTGAAAATTTCAACAACCAAAATTTCAACAATAAAAATTCGTTGTTTTGCCCATTGCACTCTTTTTGAAAAATATTTTGAATACCATATAGTGTTTTTGATTTGCTTGCCGTTCCGGAATGAACCCAAAATGTGGAAATGTGGTTTTGGGCAGGTCCGGAAACACATTACTTCAGTTTTACAGGGGAAATTTGTTTGTGATGTTGTTATTTTTGCCAGGCTCTCGACATAGCGCCCTCTGCAGACGATGGGCATATGGGTGTGGGCCTTATTTTTTGTATTGTTGCAGTTGTTCAGTTGCTGCCCTGCATCGTTTGCAGTAAATGTTTACCAATGGTTGCCAGATTTCGAAACGACCCTCAGTTTGAATGACCAAACGCACACATAAAATTATATATATTGAAAGCGCAACCAACACGGCGACTTTATCCCCAATCGACAAAAAGAACGCGGACGCTGATTTGGGCGATGATTGAATTTGAGTAGGATTCATGATTGCATGACAACGCATGGAAACATATGGTAAAACCACAACCTTCGCAGCATGAGGTTCGAAAAAGGTTCAGGTGTCACGTTGCCACATGCATGTCCAGGTGGGCAACCAAGTGATAAGAGACAAAAAAATAATTAAATAAATGAATAAAAAGTACATATTATGTATATATTTGCTATTGGTACTCTACATTGGTAGCTGAATGAATTTGGTAATTTGTGGCACACGGTGCATTTGATGAGGCTAGCCGTGCATGGCGTCGTTTTTTTTCAAGCGACCAGCAGTGCAAGTGGAATCCTCAAAGAGGGCTGTGTGGAGAGATGTGCCACGAGGCATGATGTGCCAAAAATTTTAGGATTGTCATTGTGGGTTTGAACAATGCCGGCAAGACCACAATCCTTTACAACCTGCATCTTGGCCAGGCGTTTGGCATGGCGAATTCATGGAACTGTTCCAGATATTGATGATGTTTGCAACTATCACGACCTCTGGTTGTCCAGCAGCGCTATCAATGTCTTGGGCGTAAATATTTTTGGGTCGGATGGAGCATTTGACCATAATAGCCGCAAGAATCGGAGATCAGTGCAGGTTGTCATGACGCAGCCAACCATTGGAAGCAATGCCGGATTCTTGGTACATTCCAATGGGAACTCCATCTCCGTGAAACTTGCCGTCACGCTGTGAGGTGGAAGAGGTGAAACATGAAAACATCACCTTCCAAGTCTGGGACCTTGCCGGCCAGGCGCAGTAAGTCTTGGGCCATGAGTTGCTTCAGTTTTTGAACGCCCTTTGTTGAGTGCCCTTTCCTGCAGGAGAGTTTGCGCGCCAACTGGTCTACATATTTTGCGGACCAAAGTGGTATTGGTCAAAAAACCGATTATCACAAGAGGTTGCTACAACAAAAAACATATGTAAGTGGTTGATCAAAACTATTGCAGGATACCGATGCGATCATCTTCGTGGTTGACAGCAATGACCAGGTGCGGGTAGTACATTCCACTTGAAAATAAATGACCATGCACAGACATTAATAATATTTTATAGATAGCATGGGTAGCGGAAAAAATACGGATGAGGAGTGGCAGTAGGAAACGAATAGCAACAGCAACAGTGAACATGTCAAAAATAACATCAGCAAATCATTCAAATCAACAACAATTGAGAGCAACAGTTGAAAATTATCGTGTAGGAGGATAGTATATGACAGAAACACCAAACTAGTATTGGCATGAACAAAAGTGAAAACAACAAATAATGCAAGGACCGCTAGTCAGAGCACTCGCAATGACAATACTGACAATTATGATGAGAATGACTTGACTGGATTGATTGTGAGAGTCGACCCCTGGAAGAATTTATCTGCAGGTTTGTCATTTCGGATCGTTTGCATTTTTTTTGATTTTCAATTCGCCCCACTCGAAGGAGAATTTGGTCCTGGCAAAGATGGAACTGTTCAACGTTGTTCTGCATGAGGATTTTGATGAGCTCCTGCTTCATTTGTTCCAAGCAGCGCATGTAACCCAAATAAATGATGCAATGTACTCGGGCAGCGCATTTCTTGGACTTTCTTTTAAGATCTTTAGCCAAGCAGGACTTGAAGCATGCTTGTCTTCTTGTGTTTGCCAACAAGCAGGACAATTCACGTGCCTTTAGCACTGTGAACATCTGTGCACTGTGCGCGTTTCAGATGGATAGGAACTTGCCATGGCTGCCATAGCTTGCCAGCTGTTCGACAGGATATCCAGGGTAGCCGCAATGCTGGAGAGGCGCTTCACCGATCTTTCGCACCGACGCACCGGTTGCTGCGGTGTTCGCCAGATTGCACAAGACTTGTCCTTGCACAAGATCCTCACGCACGAGTGGCAGGCACTTGGAGAAAGATTAAACCCTGGATTCACCGGAAGAAAGGAAGAACTTGTTTGCTTTGCAGACCATCTCAATAATTATGTACATACAAAACTACATACCTACATACCTACATACCTACATATATATATATACATCCATGCATGCATACGTGCATACGTGCATACATACATGCATGCATGTATGCATCCATCCATGCATACATGCATGCATGCATGCATACATACATACATGCATGCGTGCATACGTGCATGCATGCATGTGCATACGTGCATACGTGCTTACATGCATGCATGCATACGTGCATGCATGCATACGTGCGTACATGCATACGTGCATACATGCATGCATGCATACGTGCATACGTTCAGACGTGCATACGCGCATATGTGCATACGTGAATACGTGGATACGTTCATGCGTGCATACGTGCTTGCATGCATGCATGCATATGAGGATACGCACGTGCATACGTATGCATTCGTGAATGTGTGCATACGTGCACATCCATGCATGCATGCATATGTGGATACGTGCATACGTGCATTCGTGCATACGTGCATACGTGCCTAGGTACATAGGTACATAGGTACATAGGCACATATTACGTTACGTTACGTTACGTTACTTGATGTTACCCTACGTTATGCTACGTTACATTCAGACATACATACGTTACACTTAATACATGTGTCACATATGTCACATATGTCACATATCCAGTTGTTTGGATGTTTTGGCGCATTTTTGGGTCGTCTCATCGCGAGATCCAAAGCTGCTGTGCCCTCACCGGAGCAGGTCTGAAGGAGGTGTGAACGCTCTGTGCTGTTGCAGTTGTGCCATTCCTGGGGATTCAACTTCACCCCTATGGCTTAATCAACCCCAAACAACTATTTAATATCTATTTAATTAGGGGTATCGTTAAAGTATCATGTTATCATATATCATCACTGGTGAATTACCGATCTGAAAGCTGCCAGTAAAATGGGGTAAAGCCTCCATGGTCATCATGGTCAAGTCATTGAATTCCACGGCGATGCCAGGGCTTGAGCTGGATAGCGGGCAGAATAAATGTGGCAACCTGAGATCAAAAACGGACATCGGGGACCGGGACCCGATGGGATGAAGTTTTCGCAGCTTCGGTGTCCAGGGTGCCAGGCTCATCATACATCAGACGCTTGGTGCAAAACCATGAAAGATAGTAAGACTTAGTAAGACTTAGTAAGATAGTAAAAAACCAGACATTGGTTAAGCTTCACTTGTCAACATTAGTCAACATTGTTTAAGCAAACAGCATTTGGGCTATTCCGTGCCCAGGCCCGCCGCACCGGAAACGGTACATCCTCCACACCAGTGAGCTAAGAATGCTGCGAGCGACGGGACAGCGTCAAAATCATCGCAGTGTTGGATTGCGATGGTGTTGAGATGCCAGCCTTCTACATGGCACGGTGCTTTGATGGTTGCTCATGCAGCTGCTATTAATAAGAATTAATCAGCAGAGCATCACGGGCCATCAAAGTTTTGCAACATACACAACATAACCCACCTGAAACCAGCTCGGTTTCTGAGTTGCTACACCAAGATGTGCCATGGCAGCCATGGCATTCCTTCTGGAGTCCAAATCCTTCCAGTGTCAATCTTTGCAAACCGTTTCCAAGTACCACAAATTCCTCATTGAACGGCAAGACAGCAAAAGCCTTGCCATGCTGGCGGGAGTCCGGCCTGGGTGGCCACAATCTCAAAGCTGTGAGTCCGAACAGATTCAGGAGAATGAGAATGCTGAGAATGCGCTTCATTTCTTATCGCTGTGAAGTAGCAAGGAGTGCAGGGGACACGATCCCACCACGACGTGATTCGTTTTGAGGCAAGATCCCACCACTGCGGAGGTCGGAAGACGGAGTCACGGAGTCTTGGGATGTCGTCCTTCGTCCTGCAATCTGCGTTTCTCGATGTTTCTCGAATACAGATGGCTTTGGGGCTGTCTCTAGTGGCTCCGCATATCCCAAAAGAACTCCAGACTTGTAGGGCTTGTAGGGTTGAAAGTTGAAAGGCTGACAGTGCCTAAACTGAATCTGTCTTGGAGACGAGCCGCGTCAGGCAGTTGTTTCAGATGCATCTTCGAGGCGCACAGATGTAAATTAAACTCCCGAGATCAAAGGACAATATATAATATATCATATATCACAATATACTGATGTTATGAGTCTTCTTTTGCGTACATGTTTGCCGCTTCTGGCTGCAGATCATCTGATTCCAACTACCTGGACCAGGCGCTGTGAGAATGATTCCGACAAAAAATGAAAGGACAGAACCTGTCCACTTCCAAAACTAAGATTGAACCGGAAAAGAGAGAACACACACACAAAACACTTTGGATGGAACAGATCTTGGAACAGGATTGGCAGCAAGTGTGCCATCTAATGCCATCTATGATGAACACATCGCATGTTGCACTTGTCGTACTTGTGCACTTGTCGAGTGTGCGCCGCATGTGCTGCTACAGGGTGAATCTGCTAAGCGACCTGTGCGCCCGCCACGACCTGCGCTCTTGCGATCCTTGGAGGTTCAGCAATCCTTTTGTGAGGGTCATTGCATCGTGGATCATCGTGGCATGTCACCCGATAAGAGCAAAACAATATGGAATCAAATTAATCAAATTGCAATATATTACAATAGGTTTCTTGGGATGCAGTTTTTTCCACTACCTTTCACCTATTTTCCCTTACCTGAATTGAAACCGGTGCAGAACGCACTCAGAAATGTTGAGATCTGCGTTCCAGGAGCAGCGAGCTGATGCGCAACCAGTTGCGGAGGAACATAGCTCCATATCTTTCAGCGCGTACCTGAGTGCTGGGGAAAGCAGAGATGAGGACTTAGAAACGAACACGCTGCCTCGGCACATTTGTCTACTTGTAACATGGGAGTAGTTCTTTTTGGACCAGAAATGGAAGGTCAATTTGAAGACTCTGAAGATATTGATTTGTTGAGGGAACTGGTTGGGATGCTGATCCCGATCAGCATTGAAAGCACTACAACCAGACCACTTTGGGGTCTCCTAGGCCACGGCAAAGCTGCTGGAAACATGAGTCGGCCATGGGAGGCTTTCGACATGTGGACAATATAGGTTGTTTCTTGTTGAGGGCTATTAATCATTATTAATCTGTTTGGAATTTTACAAGACCACTGGCATGGAGCAGGTAGTTATTTTATGTTATTTTTCCAACTGCGATTGAAATCGTTGCAGCAACTGTGCTGTGTTGCCTTTCAATTCTCCTTCAGGACACAAAGCTGCCTTCTCATCCAGTCCGTGCTGATCCGAAGTTGAAGGCCAACTGAGATACCGATCGGTCATCAAATGTGGGGATGTAAGATCAGCGCCGGAGCTCCGCAGCGCAAGCGCATTGTCAGGTGGAGAAGATGTTGGAGCCAGCAAGGCCAGCTGACACAACCGATGACACCATGTGGTTTGAAGACCGATGACCCAAACTGCTCAACAGCGCCTGACCATGCGCGACGATCTGCATTGGAATCTGTAACTCGGCAGGCGAGCTGCTGAGGCCGATCGAAAGGCGGCCGGCGACTGAGTGCGATTTTTTCTGCATTTCTGATGTCAACTGGGGATGGGTCCAAGCCCTATGATATATTTTGGGATACTGTACCTAGGGTGCCAGGGTTTTGACTCATTTAATGTCATTGCCAACTGGCTTTGTCCATAAATTGGATACTCCAAAATGGCAATTTTCATAGGGGCGATATGGGGTGATGATGATAAATCATTGGATTTTAGAGGCCATCCAGTTCAAAAGAGGAGATGCGTATTCTGCCTGAGGTGAAAGGAGCCGTCGCAGCCATTGGCAATCTTGTCCAGGAGCAGCTGCAAATGAAGTGCGCGAAGTTTTCGGGGACGAAATGGATAGGTTTGCACTTTAGAATATTTATGAATATCTAGAATATATAGAAATATATAAAAATATATATCATCTATATAATGTATAGAATATTTTGAAACCTGTTGTGCTATGGAATTTTGGGAAACGACTTGAGATTCCCCGAGGTACGGAATATCGTTGGACCTGGACGACTTCATCCGCAAGGCGTTGTTTTTCGCCAAGAACGGAGACCATCTGGTAATTTAACATAGCTATTGAAAATGGTGATTTATAGTGGATTTTCCCATTAAACATGGTGATTTTCCATAGTTATGTTAGTTTACCAGAGGGTACCATCTGGACACAAACATATCAAGTCAAGCAACTTTTTTCAGGTGGACAGCTTGTGCCGAGCACAGCTCAATGGCGAAGACTGGGACCCACAACAAGTTGCCACGAGCTTGGAGGAGTTGGGGATGGTGAAAGGTGAGTGTCTGGGGACAACATGGGCTGTCTGAAAACGGTGCAAACATGCGGTAACTGCTGGAAATCTGCTAAATCTTATGCTAAAACCATTGGTTAAGACAATCATTTTCCCATTCCCATTTGGGATTATAGCCAGTATAGCCCATTTGAAGACACAGCCATATAGAGAGTGTGGCTAGCAAAGCCTGGCAATATATGGCATGACCTGCTTAGGTCTCCTGCTTGAATGGCATCAAGGATATGCGTTTTCGCACTCGTGATGCAGGGGGATCTCAGATGGTCAACAGGAGAATATACATAAATATTTATGTCTTTATTACTATAATTGTAATGACTACCTATTGTTATGATTCCTATAGTCATTTATCATTATCATTGGCATTACTCTTACTGGTATCACTATTATTACAGTTGTCATTACCTTTACCGTATGGAGGGCTATTTATTACTTTTTTTTTCCGCTGCAGTTTTTTTTTGGGTTCCTGGTTCTATGCTTTCCTGCTTCTCTGCTTTTCTGCTTCTCTGCTTTTCTGCTTCTTTGCTTCTTTGCTTCTATGCTTTCCTGCTTTTCTGCTTTTCCTGCTTCTCTGCTTGTCTACTTCTCTGCTTGTCTACTTCTCTGCTTTTCTGCTTTTTGCTTTTCCTGCTTCTCTGCTTGTCTACTTCTCTGCTTTTCTGCTTTTTGCTTTTCCTGCTTTTTGCTTTTCCTGATTCTCTGCTTTTCATGCTTATCTGCTTTACCTGATTCTTCTCTTTTTTGCTTCTCTGCTTTCCCTGCTTCTCTGCTTTTCTGCTTTTGTGCTTCTGTGCCTTTCTACTTCTACTATTCTACTTTTTCTTTTCTTTAGTCATGTGTTTTTGCTGCTCTACTTCCTGCTCCTCTGCTTCTCTGCTTCCTATCTTTACTGCCTCTTTTTTTTTTCCTTTTATTTTGCTTTATTCTCTCCTCTTAGTATCCTAAATGAAACCCTAAAGACCCTAGGTGAAACCCAAAGAAACCCTAAAGAAATCCTAATAAGAACTCCTGACAAGAAACTTCTACATGAAACCCTAAATAAACCCTAAAGAAACCATAAATTAACCCTAAAGAAACCATGAATGAAACCCTAAGAAACTTTGAATGAAACCCTAAATGGCATCCTAAAGAAATCCTAACAACACTCTAAAAACCACTGAATGAAACCCTAAATGACACCCAAACTGAAACCTGAAGAACCCGTAAAAGACACCCTAAATGAAATGCTAAATGAATCCCTAAAGAAACCCTAAATGAAACCCTAAAGAAACCCTAAATGAATCCCTAAATGAAACCCTAAACAAACCCTAAATGAAACCCTAAATGAAACACTAAAGGAACCCTAAATGAAACCCTAAAGAAACCCTAAAGTATCCCTAAATTACACCCTAAATGAAACCCTAAAGAAGCCTCAAAGAAACCCACATGAACGTTTGGAAATCCTGATAAGAAATCCTGATAAGACACCCTTAAATGAAACTCTAAATGAAACCCTAAAGAAACCCTACATGAAACCCTAAATGAAACGCTAAATGAAAGCCTAAATAAAACCCTAAATGAAACCCTAAATGAAAGCCTAAAGAAACTCTCAAGAAACCCACATGAACGTTTGAAGTACCAAAATGTAGCAAATACCATGCAAATGAGAGGTTGAAGTGCCAAAAGGTGGCAAATAGCATGCAAAATGCAAGGCGAACATGGCCAAATGTGCAAATGCCATGCACAATGCAAAGTAACCATGCCAAAATGTAGCAAATACCATGCAAAATGCAAAGTAACCATGCCAAAATGTAGCAAATACCATGCAAAATGACAGATTCTAGTTCCGAACTGTTGCAAATACAAGGCAAATGGTACCAAGAAAGAAAACCAAAAATAATCCAAAACCTGAGCCAAAAAAAACAAAATCTATTCTGAACCATTACCGTATTATTACTTACCATTCTCATACTAGTACTACTCTATTACTTACCATTATTATGAGTATTACTACTGTATCACTGTCATGGTCATTGTCGGAATTTGAGTTTGACAATTTGCCAGTCCCTTGGCCACACCACTAGCTGAGGCTGCACGCGTCCTGGAGTTGCGACTGGAGCCTCGGAGTACTCCGTCCTTCGAGAGCTTAGTGGAGGAGGTCAGCACTTTTGAAGTGATGAACTCTGGTGAAGTTTTGGTTCATTTTCCGATCTATTGTTGATGCACATTTTTTGATCCATTTTTGATGGACATTTTTGTAGTTCCATGGAGAGTTGCCAGGTTAACTTCATGCTTGGCACATCAAGTGCTGTGGCCGTTGTGAATGGCTCAGAAATGCTCAGAAACTCGAAACAGCATTTTTTTTCCGTTTCAAGGGCTTGTTTCGCAGAGGTTTGCAGTGCTGTCGATTTCAGGTCACTAGCAGAGGTGGCCCTTCCACTGCTGTAGCAGTCTTCCGTGAGGCCTCAGTTGGTCATCATTAACCATCATTATTAACCATCATTAGCCATTAATGTGGTAAAGCCAATAATCATTGCCAAACACTGATCACTGATCCAAGTCTTCTCAACTGACAGTGCCAGGACTATGCGCGTTCTCGAATTGGCCTGGTGGGGCGATGCACGAAGCTCAATGGCGAAACGCTCCGTCCTTGCAGTCCTTGCAGCTCTGTGCCAAGGCTATGATTTGTCATCCGAACCTTTGGCTTCCTTCACTGCAAGCCAACTTGACTATGCCAGATGCCCAATTTGGAAAATGAAGGAGTCAGAGTTGAGCCAAGATTCTGTTGCTCTGTTTCCAGCTTAGCATCCCTTAAAGTAGCCAAAGTGCATTGAAGCTGGAGGCCCTCATGCTGAGCGTGTCAATCGTGGAGGTGGGGCCAGACTCGGTGTCTTCAAGGCATGAGATTCAACAGATCTCCGTGCCAGGTGCTTCGATTGCAGGGAGAAGCTGAAGCATTGCCGCGGCTTCGGGCAGAGTGCCCCATGGAGAAGTGGCTATCACAAGGAATGATGGCGAATGTAGATACATGATGATACATGATGATACATTATGAATTGAAGGATTCATGTACAAGGTGCATTCTTTTGTTTGGTGCCTTTGTCTTCCGATGCATACTTTTTCTTTGAAGGTTCAATGGATAGGTCGGATAGGAAGAGCCAGAGCAAGCCAGTTTGCTGCCTTGGACCTTGGAGCATTTGCCATCTTTGGCTCTGATTCCCACAGGTACTTGAGCCTCAACAATGGTAAAGCCTCTGCTTCGCGGACCTCAGATGTCCCAGAGCCAGTGACGCAAGAGCAAAACATCTCTCGTCAAGTGAAGGGCTCAGAGAAGGACAGGTAATGAGTTTGCTTTACAAACTTAATCAGTTTTGTTTTGGACGTTTTTTCCAACTTGTGTGGCTTGGCCCAAGAAACATCGTTTCACAGATTCTGCAAGGTGTCTGAGCAGCGGGGCCAGGTCCTTAGCAGGTCCTTAGCAGGTCCTTAGCAGGTCCTTAGCAGGTCCTTAGCAGGTAATCAAATTCATTGATCCTTGGGGGAAGCCCACATGGAGAGGAAAGGATCGACCACTATTCCAAGAGTTTGTTTGAGAATTGTGAGGACGGCAGGGCCTTGCTGATGCACTGATGGTTGGCGCCTCAATTGCTGTGGTAGAAAACCGTTCAAAGCTTTCTTCATGGACGTTTGCCAAGGAAAGAAGAGCCGCAGAAGCTTCTCAGCCCAGTGTTGTCCTAGCCCCGGCTTTGTGGGTCATTTCCGAGGAGAGCAGCGATTCAAGTTGGTAAATTGAATGAATGATGATCCAGCAAAGACTTAGTGACTTGCGTAGGACAATGTGGGACATCAGCTCAGCTTGTTGGTGTT